TTTATTCATTTAACTACTTTATTAGACTGTTTTACAGATTTGGGGGAAATTTTAAAAACTTTTGAGTTTATTGCATCACTGTAATGCAATTGCAGCCATACTTTTACATTTTACCTTATGCTTTAACTTTTGCAGCCAAAACCTTTACCTTGACAAATGTCTTCATGTCTTTAGTTTTTACTGGGGCAAACTGGATTATTTCGGGAATGAATTGGTGTTGATCATAACATACTTTTTAAAAAACTTAAAATTATTTTTTATGAAGCGCTATATAAATGTAAGGAATTAACATTATTATTATTATTATAAATGTACTCTGTATACAGTTGAAGTCAGATTTATTAGCCCCCCTAAATTAGTAGCCCCCCAAAAACTCTTCATGTGCTTCGCCATTAATTTACAAAACTGCAATTTTGGGGGTCTAAAAATTCTAGAATTTGGAAATAAAACAACTAAAAAATGTTGGAAATCATGTGTTTGGTCTATTTGGATACTAACCAAAACAATGATGAACCTCACGGCTGTAAGTGCCCAGACAGATAGGGCTTCTTAACAAAGTAACATTGCCATCTACTGGCCTGCCATGCATACAACAGCACAAAATTTTACAGCGTTTGCCGTTTTTTACATGACTGCATTTTGGGGTCCTGAAAATGAACGTTTTTGAAAATAAAACTCAAATTTCGACTCAAAATTGCTAATTTTATAAATGACTTGTTTATTCTATATGCATAACAAACGAAAACAATGATGAACTACATGACTGTAAATGCACAGATACATAGGGCTTCTTTACATATTGACATCGCCATCTACTGGCCTGGCATGTATACCACAGCACAAAATTTTACTGGGTTTTGCCGTTAATTTACATGACTGCATTTTGGGGTTCTGAAAAAAAATACATGAAATAAAATAAATTTTTAAAAATAAAATAAATCTCGACTCAAAAATGCAAAATTTAGAAATTTGGTGTTGAGTCTATACGCATAATAACCAAAACAAAAATGATTGACTACAGGAGCACAAGTGTGCAGATGCATAAAGCTTCTTTACAAACTGACATCGGCATCTACTGGCCTGGAATGCATACAACAAAAACTCCATGCGCTTTGGCGTTAATTTACATAACTGCGTATTTGGGACTCTGCAAATTCTGTTTTTTTTCTTTTTTTTTAATAATACAGTTATTGATTTAAAAATGCTAATTTTAGAAATTACATGTTTAATCTACATGCATAATAAACAAAACAACAATCATGAACAACTGGACTTTAAGTTCGTAGAAGCATAGTGCTTTTTTGCAAACTGACATCGCCATCTACTGGCCTGGCATGCATGTTACACCAAAAACTCTTCATGTGCTTTGCCATTAATTTACGAAACTGCAATTTTGGGGGTCTAAACATTTTAGAATTTGGAAAAAAACTATCAACTAAAAAATGCAAATGTTAGAAATGATGTGTTAGGTCTACATGGATAACCAAAACAATGATTAACTACGACTGTAAGTGCCCAGATACATAGGGCTTCTTTACATATTGACATCGCCATCTACTGGCCTGGCATGTATACCACAGCACAAAATTTTACTGGGTTTTGCCGTTAATTTACATGACTGCATTTTGAGGTCCTGAAAATAAACATTTTTTAAAAATAAAATTAATCTCGACTCAAAAATGCAAAATTTAGAAATTTGGTGTTGAGTCTATACGCATAATAACCAAAACAAAAATGATTGACTACAGGAGCACAAGTGTGCAGATGCATAAAGCTTCTTTACAAACTGACATCGCCATCTACTGGCCTGGAATACATACAACAAAAACTCTTCATGCGCTTTGGCGTTAATTTACATAACTGCAATTTTGGGGGTCTAAACATTTTAGAATTTGGAAAAAAAAACTATCAACTAAAAAATGCAAATGTTAGAAATGATGTGTTAGGTCTACATCAGGGTTGGCCACCCCTGGTCTACATGGATAACCAAAACAATGATTGACTACGACTGTAAGTGCCCAGATACAAAGGACTTCTTTATATATTGACAACGCCATCTACTGGCCTGGCATGTATACCACAGCACAAAATTTTACTGGGTTATGCCGTTAATTTACATGACTGCATTTTGGGGTCCTGAAAATAAACATTTTTTAAAAATAAAATTAATTTTAGAAATTTGGTGTTGAGTCTATACGCATAATAACCAAAACAAAAATGATTGACTAAAGGAGCACAAGTGTGCAGATGCATAAAGCTTCTTTACAAACTGACATCGCCATCTACTGGCCTGGAATACATACAACAAAAACTCCATGCGCTTTGGCGTTAATTTACATAACTGCGTTTTTGGGACTCTGCAAATTATTATTATTATTATTTTTAAATAATACAGTTATTGATTTAAAAATGCTAATTTTAGAAATTACGTGTTTTATCTACATTAGATTTTAAGTGTGGAGAAGCATAGTGCTTTTTTGCAAGTTGACATCAACTGACCTGGCATGCATGTTACACCAAAAACTCTTCATTTGCTTTGCCGTTAATTTACATAACTGTGTTTTTGGGGGTCGAAAAATTCTAGAATTTGGAAATAAAACAATCAACTGAAAAATTCAAACGTTAGAAATGATGTGTTTGGTCTACATGGATAATGAACAAAAACAAATGATGGACTACAGGACTGTAAGTGCACTGATGCATAGTGCTTCTTTACAAAATGGCATCGCCATCTATTGGCCTGGAATGCATATTACAGCAAAAAATCTTCATGCGCTTTGCCCTTAATTTGCATAACTGCACTTATAGGGTCTAACAATTCTAGGAATGCATATTGCAGCACTTTTAGTCAATTTCGCAGATCGATGTGAAATAATTTTTTGTGAAATACTATTTATTTGTGTTTTTTTTTTGTTGCTTTTATTATGCTAAGGCAGTATATACTGCCAGGGATAAAACTTAAAGAGACAGAGGGATGAATGGGATTTGGAAAAGTCCACACTTCAGGATTCAAACTCTAGACGCCCAAAGCAGACTACACAATATATCAACACACTTCCCACAAGGCTACCTGCACCGACATGTACGTAAACTTTTCAGATATGCAATCACACCAATAGTTTCCGACCAAAATTTTATCTTGACAAATGTCTTCGTATCTGTTTTTCCCGATCGGTCCTAACATTCAAATTCAATATTCGGGTCCTGTCAACCACACATCTGTATCAAACTGGACGTTTCTGACTGGCAGGAGGAAGGGAAAGTTTCTAGAGAAGCAGAGAATGACTAGAGAAGAGCCACAGAGAAAGAGAGAGAGAGAGAAAGAGAGAGAATTGCTCGCAGCAAATCGTATAAAGCCATGAATAATTTACCACCTCCTCCAGCAAACCCTGATCTTTTTGTCCGTTGACTCAGGAGACCGAGGCTTTATTGGAATGAAGGCTTTCTGTGTCCTAATTTAGCATTTGCTGGCGTATCGCGGAGTGAGAGAGAGTGTTGCGCGGATCTCGCCTGACCTCAGAGAATCTCCTGAAACGCGGCTCCCTGGAGGAAGCGGGCCGGCTGTGAAAAGCGTGTGCATGTGCCTGTTTGGGAACACGCCGGAGAATTGATGTGAAGGTTTTAACCCCTCTGAAGATGGCTGGTTTATAACAGAGCGATATCATTTTCTTTGAAGCCCCGATGGTCGTGCGATGGCTAAATAACTCACTCTGCCGGACAGCAGATGTGGGACTTGCTGAGAACTCAGGCGGGAGAAGGAGTTCATTTCCAGCGAATGTTCTTGCCTCTTTTCTGGCATCGCAGTCATCAATCTTCACCATTTTTAGATCCGATGCCATTGCGCAAAAGTGTCTTGTAATCAGATTTTAAAAAATGAATGCTGCTGTGTTCTTTTTGTTTATAAGGGATAAGTGTCCTGACAAGGCAGTTTCTACGCTTGCTTGCATGTATAGAGGAGAATTTTTGTTTTGTTTTTAATTAAAATGGGATTTTGATCATGGTTTAATTTTTTTAAATAAGCAAACTAAATTTAACTCACGTTTTAAATAATTAAAAAGTTAACAAATGATAATTAAATAAAATGTAAAGATTTATACACAACAAAAGTCAAACGTTTGGGGTCAGTAGGATTTTTAAATGTGTTAAAATAAGCTTCTCCTGCTCACCAAGGTGGCATTTATTAAATTTAATAATTTATTCCAGGGATTTTAAAGATGATTTTTTTGCTTCATTACTCAAGAGCCACATGATCCTTCAGAAATCACTCTAATATTAATTAATATTGTTATTATTATTATTATTATTATTATTGTTATTATCATTATTAATGGTAATAGTAAAAAAGCAATAATGACTGGAGTATACTTTCATTTGAAATTACATACCATAAGTACTAAATAAATATAAAAATTTTTTTTTTACATTTAATAAATGCCACCTTGATGAACATAATTGTTATCTTTAAAAAAAAAAAACATTACTGTCGTATCTAATAAAGACAAAAGGCCAAAAATACATCTTAA